AATTATTTTTATTTACAGAATACAGTATACATTTAACCCAGTTTTGTGGCAAGTTCTTTAGCCTTTGCCTTTTTGAGCTTGGCGATGTGAGACGCAGACTTGGGACCCAGGACATTGCCTCCCCAGTGACGGCGGATCTCATCATATCTGTCATTGTAGTTGGTGCGGATAGCTTCCACCAGCTTTGCCAAAGCACCTTTGTCTTCTGGATTAATGTGTGTGAAGGCGACAGTGGTGCAGGTCTTCCTGTGGACTAGACGTCCCAGTCTTGCCTTCCCCTTGATAATGCAGTAAAGGACTCCTATTTTATGACACATGGCAGGCAAGAAGACAACCAGCTCAATGGGATCCACATCATGAGCAATCACCACCAGCTGCGCTTTCTTGTTCTCAACCAAGGTGGTGATGGTGTTGACTCCTGCTCGAAGGACAGGTGGTCTGTTAGTCGGGATGTCCCCTTTGTCATTTTATTCTCAGCCCGGGCCAACAGCCTCTGCTTTTTCTCTTGCTTCATCTCTCGTCTGTACTTGTGGGCCAGCTTAAGCAGCTGAGTAACTGTTTGGTGGTCCAGGGCCTGGGTGAACTCGTTAATTGCAGGAGGCACTTTCAGCTGCTTATAGAGGATGGCTCTCTGCCGCTGCAACCTGATATAGCAGGGCCATTTCACAAAGCGGGTGAGGTCTCTTTTGGGCTGGATGTCCTGTCCAATGCCAAAAGTTTTAGGAATTTTCTCACATAGTGGATTCACCACTTTCTTGGCCTCCTGCTTCTTCGCGGCAGCAGGGGCTGGAGCCACCTTCTTCCCCTTGGCCTTCTTTCCTTTCAGCATCTTGGGCGGCGGGAAGAGACTGAGACTTTTTAATTACTCTAGACAACATGCTCACCTGTTCTTTCTTGATCGTGTTTCATCTCTCTTCATGTTTCTCAGTTGCCTCCCTGACCTCTTAATTTTGCTATTTGCCAGTGACATTCTTTGGACTTTTGTGTGTTCCTTCTCTACTTACTTATTTGATGCTTGCATTCTGTCTCCTGGCTGATAACCCCAAATAATTATTTCAATCTCTTAACCTTCAGACCTGCTTAACCGAGCACTGGGCCACATCTGAGCACCTTCACTGCTTCCATTCTGCTACACAACACTGGTAGGTTATTTTGATGGCCTTTTAACTGGCCTGTTTTGGCTTATTTTTTCCCACCCTCTGCTTGCAAAGTCTCTTTTCAGCACACTTGTCAAAATGGCTTGGATGAAATATGTTTTATTATAATGCATCTTCATTAAACACTTTCAAAGGCTTCCAATGACACTCAAAGTTAAACCTAAAGTCCGACAGTAACCTATGGATGCCTCTATGATGACTTCCTCCCTCCTCCTCATTGCTGCTGGAACCACATCTTCTATTTCCTCCCTCTAGCCACACCCTGGCCTAACTGTGCTTTCTCAAACATGTCGAGTAAGCTATCGTCTCTGGTTGTCTCATCCTTCAGATATGAGTATTGATAATTCTCCCTCCATTAAGTCTTGATCCATGATTTGCATCCTTAGGCTTTCTAGACACTTTATTTGATGTTGCATAAAACATGCCCAGAACATTAATCCCATTTCTTGCTTACTTTTCCCCATATCTCTTAATACTAGCTACAATGTCTTACTTACTCCATTTATATTTTTCTTTCTCATCTTCATGTGGGCAGAAGTTCTGTAAAGTGTTTTTTTTTTTTTAACCATATCAATACAACTTTTTTGCATTATTAATGGAGGAAAACTGAGTGCTTTTTAAACAATTTTTAAAAATTAGACACTGGGTAATATTTTTATTTTTATTTATTTATATATGTTTTATTGTACTTTATGTTCTGGGGTACATGTGCATATCATGCAGGATTGCTGCATAGGTACATACATGGCAATGTGGTTTGTTGCCTCCATCCCCCTGTCACCTATATCTGGCATTTCTCCCCATGTTATCCCTCCCCAATCTCCCTACCCCCCACTGTCCCTCCCCTATTTCCTCCCAACAGACCCCAGTGTGTGATGCTCTCCTCTCTGTGTCCATGGGTTCTCACTGTTCAACACCCGCCTATGTGTGAGAACAGGGGGTGTTTGATTTTCCATTCTTATGTCAGTTTGCTGAGAATGATGGTTTTCAGATTCATCTATGTCCCTACAAAGGACACAAATGCATTGTTTTTTATGGCTGCATAGTATTCCATGGTGAATATGTGCCACATTTTCCTTGTCCAGTCTATCATCGATGGGCATTTGGGTTGGTTCCAGGTCTTTGCTATTGTAAACAGTGTTGCTATGAACATACATGTGCATATGTCTTTATAATAGAAAGATTTATAATCTTTTGGGTATATACCTAGTAATGGGATTGCTGTGTCAAATGGAATTTCTATTACTAGGTCCTTGAGGAATTGCCACACTGTCTTCTACAATGGTTGAACTAATTTACACTCCCACCAACAGTGTAAAAGTGTTCCTATTTCCTCTCCAGCATATGTTGTCTCCAGATTTTTTAATGATTGCCATTCTAACAGGCATGTGATGGTATCTCAATGTCGTTTTCATTTGCATTTCTCTAATGATCAGTGACGATAAGCATTGTTTCCTATGTTTGTTGGCCTCATATATGTCTTCTTTGGAAAAGTGTCTGTTCATGGCCTTTGCCTACTTTTGAAAGGGTTTGTTTTTTTCTTGTAAATCTGTTTTAGTTCTTTGTAGATTCTGGATATTAGCCCTTTGTCAGATGGGTAGATTGCAAATTTTTTTCCCATTCTGTTGGTTGCTGATTCACTCTAATGATTGTTTCTTTTGCTATACAGAAGCTCTGGAGTTTAATTAGATCCCATTTGTCTATTTTGGCTTTTGTTGCCAATGCTTTTGGTATTTTAGTCATGAAGTCCTTGCCTATGCCTATGTCCTGAATGGTTTTGCCTAGGTTTTCTTCTAGTGTTTTTATGGTGTTAGGTCTTATGTTTAAATCTTTAATCCATCTGGAGTTAATTTTAGTGTAAGGTGTCAGGAAGGGGTCCAGTTTCTGTTTTCTGCACATGGCCATCCAGTTTTCCCAATACCATTTATTAAACAGGGAGTCCTTTCCCCATTGCTTGTTTTTGTCAGGTTTGTCAAAGATCAGATGGTTGTAGATGTGTGGCATTGCTTCCAAGGCCTCTGTTCTGTTCTATTGGTCTATGTCTCTGTTTTGGTACCTGTACCATGCTGTTTTTATTACTGTAGCCTTGTAGTATAGTTTGAAGTCAGGTAGCCTGATGCCTCCAACTTTGTTCTTTTAGCTTAGGATTGTCTTGGCTATGCAGGCTCTCTTTTGGCTTAATATAAAGTTTAAGGTTGTTTTTTTCCAGTTCTGTGAATAGGGTCATAGGTAGCTTGATGGGGATAGCATTGAATCTATAAATTACTTAGGGTAGTATGGCCATTTTCACAATATTGATTCTTCCTTAACATGAGCATGGAATGTTTTTCCATCTGTTTGTGTTCTCTCTTATTTCCTTGAGCAGTGGTTCATAGCTCTCCTTGAAGATGTCCATTACATCCTTTGTTAGTTGTATTCCTAGATATTTTATTCTCTTTGTAGCAATTGTGAATGAGAGTTCACTCTTGATTTGACTCTCTTTTAGTCTGTTATTGGTATACAGGAATGCTTGTGGTTTCTGCACCTTGATTTTGTGTGCTGCGATTTTGCTGAAGTTGCTTATCAGTTTAAGGAGATTTTGGGCTGAGACCATGCGGTCTTCTAAATATACAATCATGTCATCTGCAAAGAGAGACAGTTTGATTTCCTACTTTCCTGATTGAATACCCTTTATTTCTTTTGCTTGCCTAATTGCTCTTTCTGGAACTTCCAATACTATATTGAATAGGAGTGGCAAGAGAGGGCATCCTTATTTAGTGCCAGATTTCAAAGGGAATGCTTCCATTTTTTGCCCATTCTGTATGATATTGGCTATGGGTTTTTCATAAATAGCTTTTATTATTTTGAGATATGTTCCACGGATACATAGTGTATTGAGAGTTTTTAGCATAAAGTGCTGTTGAATTTTGTCGAAGGCCTACTCTGCCTCTATTGAAATAATCATGTGGTTTCGGTCTTTGGTTCTGTTTATGTGGTGGATTATGTTTATAAACTTGTGTATGTTGCACCAGCCTTGCATCCTTGGGATGAAGCCTACTTGATCGTGATGGATAAGCTTTTTGATATGCTGTTGTAATCAGTTTGCCAGTATTTTATTGAAGATTTTTCCATATATGTTCATCATGGATATTGGCCTGAAGTTTTCTTCTTTTGTTAACTGTGTAAACACCAGGACTTTAAAAATCATACTTACCTTATACAAGGCATTTGATTAATTTTAAAATAAATAACCTCTAGAGATATAATCATTTTTTAAAAAGTTGCATTTTACCACATCAATGTTATAAATATACTATTTTTCTAAAATAATATTTAGTTTATATAATATGATGTTTACCATAAAAATGTATAACATTCAAATTATATATAAAATGTCTTATATTAGTCTGTTAAAACAAATGAGAATATTTCTATGCCATCTCTGAGACCAAATATTGTTTTGTTAAAAATATTTTTGAAGTTTAAAAATTGTTTTTAATCAGCAATTCACAATATATTTTAAAGCTTTAAAGTATTCTGATAAAGGCAATTTTATGAAAAAGAAAGTAAAGGACAAAAAATGATTACAAACACCTGTGTAAATAACGCAGATAAATAGAATATTCTCACTGTCAAGGAAAGACTGTCCTTTTTTTTATTTTTTTATTTTTATTTTTTTTGAGACAGAGTCTTGCTCTATTGCCAGACTGGAATGCAGTGGCGTGATCTTGGCTCACTCACCCACCACCTCCCACGTTCAAGTACCTCCCGCGTCAGCCTCCCGAGTAGCTGGGACTACAGCCTTATGCCACCATGCCCAGCTCATTTTTGTATTTTTAGTAGAGAGGAGGATTCACCATCTTGGCCAGTTTGTTCTTGATCTCTTGACCTGGCTATCCATCCACCTCGGCCTCCCAAAGTGCTGGTGTTACAGGCATATGCCACTGTGCTCGGCCAACTATCTTTCATGTCTTTTTCACCCCTGTGTATCTCCCACAGAGGTATAACTATGTTGTTCCTTTTAACCAATTGCTTGATTTTTCTCTATAGTATTTCAATTTAAGTGTTTATTCTTAAAAATTATAATTTACTTATGCCAGTTTTTAAACTTTATCTGAATAAAATAATGTTGAACATGTTCTGTGTCAGACTCCTTTGTTCTACATTTTTATTCTAATTTTGAGCTGTGATTTTTTTTTAAATTTGAATTAGAACTAATTTGTATATCCATATAATATTTCATTAGGAGGATATACCATAATGTATTCATCTGCACTATTTATGGATATATTATTATCTCTATTATAAACAAAGCTATCATGAGCATTTGCTTACATGCATCAGGTACAATATGAAATAATTTCCACATGTTCAGAGGTGGAAGTGTGGGCTAGTAAAGTGTTCAGACCTTATTAGGTAATGCCAAACTAGCAAACAAACTTAGAATTATGTTAGTGGTTTACAAGCATTCTTGTTGTTCAACACATTAACCAATACTTCCCATTGTCCATTTTTGTAATATTTAATTTTTGCCATTTGGGGTTGGCTTCTTGCATTACATTGCCTGTTCATGTTGCAGTTTTGTGTCCATCAATAATATTTGGAAATCCCTGTTTAATTATTTCACTCCTTTTCTTCTTGGGTTTCTTAAACATTTTAAGGAATTATCTTTCTATTCGAGATACAAATGTCT